TTAGTAAGTAGTTACAGCAGCAGGAAACTCATCTCAGGCTACCAAACCTGTCCTTACCAAAACTTTATCAAATACTCAAATCAGCACTCCTTTTAAACAGGGTTGCATCCACAGCAGTATCCAGTAGTTACTCAAAAACTAAGGCTGCATCACACAAATAACCTGTGTAGTAATGAAATGTGCACGATCCTATTGCCATAGTCAGCCCCCAAATGAGGCTCCAGATTCTCTTTAACAAAGATTCTGACCTAGAAAGGCTGACATTTATTAAAAGACCCACAGTAATCCCAGCTCAATTTGTGGCCAGGCACTTAGCTTTTATGTATGATGTATTAGAAAATGAGGTTGTTCCTCCTCACACTACAGGTTTCATTTTACTCCTTTGTGAGAAATTCCTCCTTTTCAACCTGCAGTCCTGGAAAGCATTTCAAAGCCTGCCCTGTTCATGTGATAGTTTGGTAATTCTTCAAGAACCAATGAATTAAAAAAGTGACACCGTTCTCCACTCTGAATTCCTGAGGTGTATGTCAGGGCCACTTGGGTTGTTTCTATTTTGTGCCAATGCAGGAATTTCGGAGGTAGCTTATTTGATCTTAGTTGGTGACTAACAATGCAACCACCTTTCTAATAATTCAGCTGGAACAGCTGAATGTCTGTGTCAGTATGAATACTGCAAAAGGAGACCCATCCTGACAAAATCTTTGTTGGAAATGCCATGCAGGAACTTGCACAAAGTGTGCGTACAGATGCCTACTTTTTTCAAAGACACCTGTTTGGATTAAAGCTCTTATGCATATATTCACTCATTATAAAGTATAATGGCCCTGCCATTCAGATAAGACATACAGAGATTTCAGTGGGCACTTGAGCCTTTGAAAATTCAGTTCTATATCTCAGAGAGAATCAAGGCATGTATACTTTGTGCAATGGAGACTTCTGGTGTAGCAGCAATTTGAGCTAATGCCATGGGTGTTATACAGGGGACTGTGCCTAAGCTTACTGTTACTGTTGAATGACAAGTGCTTTTGGAGGAAATTGTGAAGAAGGTAATCTCTCTGCTTCAAAAAAACCTATCAAGATATATATTTTAGTACAGTCTGTTAAAAAAATATCTATGTCTGTTTTTTAATTGTAAATTACAATGTGCTTGCTAGGCTTCATATCCTCCTGCTATCCTCTGGACAGTCCAGTGAAATCTCTGCTAGACACCTCATGCTACACAGCCCAGCTGCTGTCGGATTCAGTTTCATTAGCCACTTCCTGCCTGTTCTGTGCTATTACTGGGACTCTTAGTTATGCTCTGTCTCTTCTTCCAGTCCACTCCCCCCTCCTTCCCCTCCTACCATTTATTCTCAATAGAGTCATATAGTGTAAGGTACATCAGCTCCAGTGTCTTTTCTGAGCAGTTTTCAAAAGAACTGATGCTCTTAAATCATGCACAGATGAACATATCCAGTTTCACAAAAGTATACATAAATTATTAGGAAAGAAGGAAAATTCAGGCAATGACCTCAGAACCAGCAATAGCAGGGCTGCATTTGTAAGCTGTACTTCACAGTGCCTGACAGTGCAGTGGAAGCATTGATGGGGAAGGGAAAAGACTGCCACACTTTTGGAGAATGGATGCTGTGCAGGAGATTAAGGTTGCATAGGATTTTTCTCCCTTTACTTCATTACTACTTTTCTTGAAATGTCACATTTCCAGATTGATTAGATTCCCAAGTGATTGATTCATTTGTCCTTTTTTTAATAAAACACAGACCAGTCATTTTTAAGTGCACAAAATAAATTTTGATTTTGCAAAAAAAAAAAACCAACACAACCCTCACACACATAAATACATTTTTAGAATAGATGTACATCCTGGCTATCCTTGAATTTGACATACAAACAAAATATACAAACAAAAAAATACCCGTGGTGTGAAATATTCTTGCATCTCAACAGCCCAGTGAAAAGTCTGCTTTCTGTTGTCCAGATTATCACAGCTAAGTATATATGGCTTTTAAAAAAGCATGAAGTATTTGTTTTCCTTTCTCCCTCTCAGTTTTCTCCTGCCTCTGTGCGTGGTTGTGTAAGTAATCTGAGGTGAATGTTCAGCCTCTGAGGCTACAACTCTTCTAGAAAATTAAAAAGTGGCAAGGAATATTGCAGGTGTTGAACTTCAATTGCCCATAATGCTACATTTTTAAAAAAGTCCCAGAGACGTACCCAGGCTTGATGTACCCAGGATGTACCATGGTTTGAGGGCTAGCAAGGAGCAAGAATCCTTCCCAGAGGGTCATCTGAATGTGGGAGGGCAAGAGTCTGATAATGTGAGCACAAGTGTAAGTTGTCCTGAGTGTCTGAGAGTGGTTTCAAGAAAATTTAGTTTATTAATGGAGGTACAGTTTGAGTAGCGGTAGGATATAAAACATCCATCTTATTTCAAAGGAACAGTTAACGGGCCCACAGAAACTTTGATGTGCCAAGATACTTAACCAAGTGAATAGCCACTGTGGCAGGCAGCAGTGTAACTCATACGCTTGAGGTTAGCATTTTCCTTGTGACATTTCTGGGCTGAAGCTAAAATATGAAAGCTTTAGGCTATCTGCTCTCTCTGAACTTGGGTCTTCACAGGACAGTGTTTAGTTACGTTATGAAAAGTATCCAAGGAGAAACAAACTCAGACCAACTTCAGAAATGAGCTCTTTTGTAGTACGTCCACTCACTCTATCTGTCCTGACAGGTTCAGCTTCTGGCTACTGGTGTTGTTACTCTAGATCTGACTTGCATAGCATAGAAACAGGAAAAGGCACCAATGAAACCTCACCTTTCCTGCATCAGTAGTCTGATGATAAGACCTGCATTGTCATACCAATTTGCATCTTTGAAATTGCACAGTTGAGGGACAAAGCCCATACAGATGTGGCCACTGTAGCTGACTCAAATCTGACAGCTGTCATTCATATATTAGTTGTAAAGCAGACAAGTTAATGAAAAGGGGAAAGTTTCACTGAATTTTAACCATCTGAAAGCTATATTTCTGATACAATCTTAATTATTTCCTTTGAAGGAGGAACTTCTCTAAAGGTAAATTTTAGTACCTCAAAGAATTGTCTTAAAATGGATGACTTTTGAAAGTCCATTGATGTACACTAGGCAGCTTTTATGTAGCTACAAGTGAATCCTGCCTTAAATCCTTACACTGGGATTTGAATATCTTTCTAAAAGTTATGTTCTGTTTCATTTAGATATAACAGACCTGGTGTTGCTCAATAAAATTGTGTGGTCTGTAATCACATAACAGGGACTTTGCAGCATCTCTGGATTTAAAAGCTACTGGTAAGTGAAGTTTTGTGAAGAGATAGCATACCTTAAATGAAAGAAGCATGACATATAAATAAATATATATCTATACATACAGATGTCTTGGCATGCCCAGGGCCTACCACAATCCAAAGCCACATTCTTGGCATCAGTTTTGACGTGGCATCATTTAATATTGGACAGTCTTTGCAGAAGCAGCCAAAACAACAGTGTTGGTTTGAATGTGGGTTTTGGTTGCCCTTGTTGACTGTAAGAAGTGTCAGCAGAAACACTGACATAATACAAAGAGATTCTGATGGAGACAACTGAGCTGTGATGATTGTTTTTTCATATGAAACTGTGGATGTGGTGACAACTCTGGCAGACTCAGGGCAGCCAAGTACTCACTGCAGTTGACTGAGAAATAAGATCATTCTGCCAGGATAGATTAGAAGGGCATCTGCTAAAGCTGACAGGTTTAGAAAAGACAAACATTTCCTCACCACCTTTACCATTATTTATCAGCGATGACAATTGCCCCACTCTTTCATTCTCCCCTTGATTCTGTGCCCCCAGCAAAGCAAACTGTACATCTGGATTTCCCAAAACTAGGGAAACAAAATCTCTGTAAATTTCAGGGAAGTCTGCTGATCAGGGCCAAAGGCAAGAGGCTGCAGACAGGGAAGGCAGGATAAGCAGCCAGGAAAAGAGGAGTTTTGCTATTTATTCAGGCCACAGAAAGCTCAGAATGATGAGAGCAAACGTGGCATCCCAGTGAGGACCAGTTTAGGAGATGTAACCTCAACACTGTGCACCTTGTCTGTTGGTGTTCTACTGTGGTGTGCATGCATAGCACCAGTTTCAAGAGAAACAGAATAAATGGGGAACAGAGGTTCCAGGGAGTGTCTGTTAGAGTAACACGATGATCAGTTCAGCCTGATATAGTAACTAGTAGAGAGCAAGCAGCCTGAGTGTGAAAGGACAGTCCTGTCAAAGCGGTGCAGCTTGATTATAAATAGCTGGGCATGTGGTCTTCTACTGCTTATTAACGACAATTTACCTCTCCTTCTACTGCAGATTAAAATGCAGCAACTTTTTAGAAAGAAGTCAAGCAACTCAGTCAGACAAGAGGATTTTCCAGGTCCAGAGAGCACACCAGTCTCAAAGTGGAAAACACAAAAGTTAATTGCAGTTTCTCTTCTCCTGCCCCTTTCCCTTGACCAATTTGTCGTATCTGATTGAGGCTGGCTGATTTTATAGTGCAGATGACAGATCTAGGCAGGCAGCACTACTTATACAGTAGAACTAGCAGGGAAGCCCAAGCAAATCTGTGCCAGCTCATGAAGTTAAAACAATTTTGCATATAAAAAGGAAACCATAGCTAATTAACACCAGGCAGGTGGTCTAGTTGGTAATCTAGAATCCAAACTAGGCCACAAGGGAATATGGGACTTGGCAGATGAAACTGTAACTAAAATCATCTCCCAAGACCAGCCAAGTGAGAGCAGAGCCAATTACCCTTACGAAAAAATATGCCTGTGCCAGTCATTTCTGGGAAAAACAAGCCAAGGACAAATGACTGCAACTCTCAGAATGAGCATGATTACATTTAGTCTTCAGGGCTTTGTTTCTAAAAGGGTTTTTCGTTAAATGCCAATCTTATTTAGTCAGATTCATGGTGAGATCAACATCAGTCTTCATGGTGCTTTAAGGAAATCTGCAGGGAAGAAGACAGGGAGGTGTCAATACGAAAGCAAAGAGGAGGTTGTGAAAATTTATGTTAAATTTAGGTGAGGCTTGAAGGAGGCAATAGACCCCGCTGAGTTACAAAAGCAAAAGCAGATACCAGCAAAGCTGGCTGTGTATCAACTGCAGTATCAGAGACTGTAGCTGTTACCAAAAGGGGGGAGGAGTTTTTGTCCAGAGGAAAGAAATGGAGAAAGTGAGATTTGTGAGGTGAAAGGCTCCACTGTTATACTGAAAATAAGACATGATCAAATACAAGAATGGTGTCTTAAACCTTACCATGAGTAGTGTACGTGCTCTTGGAAACTGAACACCCAGATCGTGTTTTCAATTGGTGGTCCTTGGGGATACAGAAATTATTCCCTCCCCTCAAGCTCCTGAAATGTAATCTCATGGCATACTGAAATGAGAGAACAGACTGACGGGGACTTACCCACAAGTTAGAGAAAGAGCTGATAGATTTGGACTTTTAAAAGCTTATGAAGAGCTTGCAAATGTGTAATGTAACAGTATGTACAAAGCCCCAGCTTTTTCTTCTGCTGAAGGGACGTTCTTCCATCCGTCTCACTATTCCCATGGCAGAGTTCTCTGTGTGAAAAAATTCAACTGCATATAACGCACACTGGGAATACAGCCTGTAGGGTCAATTGCCTGCAGTTTAGTGGAGTCCTTTGGCAAGCAGTTCAGTGAAGCGCTAATTGTCGTCCGTGAGCAGGAAAGTAGCTCTTTAGCTTTAATCAGCCTCATGGTACCATTTATTCCTACTAATATAAATGCTATTATGGTAATTCTATAACAATTCATGTTTATACTTTACTAAGATTATGATTGCTCTCCTTTGCATTGCAGAGCTCACATGCAGTTGCTCATACCATTACATGCACATGCCTAAAACACAAAAGGTTCTTAGCTAGTTCCCACTTGCATGACCTACTGATACCAATCAGCTGGAGCCTATGTACTTGCATGGAAGGCTTGCCTTGCAAATATTACTCAGTACAATTTAAACGTACAATGCAACCCTAAAATTCAAAGGGATTGGGATTTGTTGGTGAAGAAATTTTGCGCCACGGAGCGAGGTTTTTTGCCAGATCCAGCTGGACTACTTGAAGATCTCCTGTCCCCATTTTCCACTCCTGTCTCTCCAGGCTTTTTCCCAGCCATTAATTCCACATCACGCAGGATCAACACAGCCAGATTAAATGCAAAACTCGTCAACATGGTAGCATGGTTTGACCTAATCCCCTGGCTCTGCGCTGAAGTCAATTATGAAACATTCACCATGCTTACCGCAGAGGCTGTGTTGGCATAGCAAACATTTATCACAGTAACATCTTCTGGCACCACAAAGTTTGCAAGGTAAATGTGTCACGCACAGATGAGAAATGAGGCTGATCACAACAACTAGTTCTTACTCCAGGGATACAGAAGAGAGAAGCGATGTGTCACAAATGGCACTGAAAGCTATTTCCTCTGGAAAATAATAAGAAGGAGGGGAAAAAAAATAGAATAAGAGGGCAAAAAAAGGGAAACGTTAACGCTGGTAGTTGGAGTAGCAGTATGAGAACATATTTTATAGCACTGAATATATGAGAAGAGCTGTCAAACTTCTATATCAGACTAGGAATGGACCATAGAGAGCTATATCTATTTCATCAATAGAGAGGGAAAGTTTATTCCCCCTTTTCATATCATGTTCTCACTAACATACTTTTCCCTAGACATGCTCCCTTGTAACTGCTTCTCTTATGTCCTCAGTTCATAAAACAACATACATATATATACTTTTAAAAGAAGTGCAATCTGACAGCTGTGCAGGCTGTATCTCTTTTCTTAACGTGTTCTACTTTAAGGAAAATGCTGTTGCTGTTTGTTATAGACTGATAAACTAGCTCAGCACCATCATTTTACAAATCCATACATTGCTGACCTGCTGCAGGAATTTGTACAATAAAATCAATTGGGATTCCGGCGTAGTTTGTGCACAGTGGAATGCTGGACTAATTATGTAGTTGTTATAATCTCTATAGAAATACTTTTCATTTTCTTGAGGGAAATATGTCTGAATCTTTAAGAAGCTTTGTTGCTTTTATTAAAATTATTCTCCTGGACCATTATCATACTTGTTGATTCGGGCATTCCATTGAAACTGAGCTATTATAAAACCACCCCATGGTGATCTTGGTGAAACTTTTAATTACTGAGTTAAATAAAACATCAGTTGTCTTTTAATGACTAAAATATATCCCTGCGCTCAGACTTTCCCCAGAATTTACCAGGTGCATTCAAATAAACACTGAAAGACAGCTCTGTTATTATCATTATTACATTTATAGTGCCAGATAAGTGCCTCTTGTATTCTAGAGAGAGATAAATAGAAGTCTAAGTATGCTTGGGCTACTTAGCAATGTAAATGAAAATCACAGGAAAAGCGATTCTAGGAGAATGAAACAGAAGAAGGTCAGTGTTTGACTCCCATGGAATAGAGCTGATAGCAGTGCATAGCTACTGTGCTCCAGTTAGAATGTTAATTAATGTGTTCAACATAGGTGACAGCCAAATGCCATTATCTCCCCAGTTTTACAGAGGTGCCGTTCCTGAAGCACAGGAAAGCAATGCCCAGGGCTGGACTGCTCCTCTGAAGAATACAACTACTGTTCATATGGCTCCAAGCCCAAGCACACTGCAAATCCCATTATGGCTTTGTTGTGCCTGAAGCAAAAAGGAAGAAAGAGTCCAAAAAGGCCTGAGAATCACATTATGGAACTTCTTGAGTTTTGCCCGGAGGCCTTAGATGCTCCCATCCCCTCAGGGCATGTGCCAGCTGCATGCGTTCATGGCCCCAGCTCCTGGCAGGGGCACTGGAGTTACTGATGCTTTGTGAAGCAGGAGTGGTCCTCAGCAGGGTAAAATGCCTCACTGAAGCAAATTCTCTTCTTCAAGTTTAGCTAGAAGCATGAAAACGTCATTAATGTCTTCGCCATCAGTGTTGCTGCTTTGCAAAATTGGAAGTTAAAACAATCAACCATATGATAACGCTTTGATGATGCAGGTGCTACTGCTGAGCAGGACCCAAAACACCCTTTGGGTGAAGTCAGACTCATCCCATTGGCCTCTCTGTGGTTCAGATGATATCAGCTTTGCTGCTCCCTGACAACCAGTCCACGCAGATGATAGTGTTACCTTCTCCAACTGGATCACTCGTACCAAAAAGATGGAAGCTTGAAGGCTGTTGAGAAAGAAGAGAAATTGAAGAAGGAATAATGTAGCTTGTAAACAGCTTTGGTTGACTATGAGCCATGTGTTCTGAAGCACAGGTAACACTAAGCAAAGGGGGCTCACTTGTTTCTACCAGCACCTATTTTAGTGCAGTTTCCCCAAGAGCACTCCTTTTCCTCATGATCACTTTACTGAATCAGGCTATTATTCAGCTTTCTGTCTGCTTCTCAGCTTTGTCTCTACATTTTGTGCAGCCCTTTGTACAAGCAGCACCCACAAACACATGGAAACACATATACACAAATCCAGCTACATCCTACATAACATGGGGCCAAAGCCCAAACTGTTTATTTACATTTTGGAGGAGGATTTTATGTCCTTTGAGCAGAGCATAGGTCTATGCTCTGGGTTGGCAGGCTGTTAGTACTGGAGCCATGAAGTTCCACATTACTGCTTAACGGTTTCTCCTATTGCTGAGTATCACCTTAGCCCACTTACTTCAGTAAATTCATGCCCAGCCTGTTCCATACTGCCTGCTTCAGTGTAGCTCTTCCTTGGCCAGCATGATTCTCTCTGCACATTGCTCTTTCATTTCGTATCAGATTTTCTGCACATTTTGTCTATGGTATGCACTGAAAATCAATAGAACAGGTTGAACAATTAAATGCTAATAAATAACAACCGAGACAAGACTGCAGTTGTCATTCACTTTAAGATGCTTTTAATCTCCACTAGCGAAGCTAACATCATGGCTCCTGAATGACAGCAGACACCAAGTCAGTGCCATCACCACTGGCAAAAAATTTCTGAGCAATCTGCACAATTACAAGATTGCAGTGAGTGATGCAAGTCTATTCAGAGAAACTCCTGCACCAAAACCAAGGAGTCCCTGTACAGTATCATTTTCAAACACCCAGATTCATGGAATCATTCCACAAAGTGACTACACCAACGCAGCCCAGACTTTCCATGTCTGCCTATTTGCCTAGGGACACGCAGGGAAGTGCAGGCAAACCAGCTCGAGGTGGGAAGTCACTGCACATAAATTACAGCACACTAATCCCTTCCACAGATGCTCTCATTTGGGTGTAAAATGGTTTAAGGTTATTGAAGTTCCATGCCACCCTTGGCAGGATTTATTTACATTTCCTGTGTGAGCCTGTGGTTTGATGTTTCAAAATGGTCAGCAGCAATAGTAGCTTAAGAGAAACTTTCTCAGTTTAAAAAATAGAACAAAACACCTTTTTTTTCTCTTTTTTTTTTTTTTTTTTTTTCCCCCATTAACTGATTTTTCAGCCGGATCAGTTCTCCAATCTTATTGACAATGAAGCTGCATAAATGTCTGGTAGCGTGTTGGAAGCTCTCCTTTTTTATTCAAATAAACTTTATTCTGAATACACTGAGGTTTTGTGCCCAAATTTAATTTTGAGCAGTTCAGGGTGATCCCATTGTAATTAATCCTGTTCAGTTCTGCCCTACTTACTAGCATACTAAATGCAAAAGTAATTTCCAATGAATGTCCTAATTAGCTAGCTACACATACGCATGAATCTTAAGACATAAACAAAACACTGTACATTCGGAAGCTTTCTTCTTCGTCCTATGCTTCATCAAACCTGTTAAATACTTTCACAGTGGAAGCAAAGCCCAGTGCAGGATCAGTGAAAGAACATGAAGTCAGTGCAGTCACTCTTTGGTTAGTAAAGCATAGTTCGAGAAGTATAAAGCTTACGTCCCTGAGGTGAGTAGGTACCTTGGACTCAAATCACCTCAGAGAGGCAGGCTGCCTAAACCATACATACCTTTACTGAGAAGGTTGGCTAGGAAAGTCAGGGGGTGGCTGGAAATAGGACTGAAAGCAATAGCAAGTCTGGGGAGCTCATACTGAGAGAAACACACAGGATTGCAAGTCTCTCTTATCAATCTTCTACCTCGGAGGCCTATGTGGAGATAAAGGAGTTCAGGAAAGGAAGAGAGGAGTTGGAACTAGAAGTGTGAATGAATCTGTACAAAGTGGAAGGAAAGTATACTGTAATACCAGCATGGAATAGTACCTGCTTCCAAGATCCCCAGGAAATGGCCCAGGATTTGGCCATGGAATTAAACATGGAGGTGATACAATCCCTGTCATGGAGATAGACTGAAGAGTCTTCCTGTAGTAGGGAAAGCCTCATCAACTCTCCAGCTACTGAACTGGACTGCCTAACTAAACAAGAAGCAATGACATTTATTCCACAATTAAGTGTGGTTGGGCACACTGGACAAATACTGGGAGAAATTTCATGATAGTACCTAGGGCTGCCCAAGAATATTAATCTCCAATATCTCCGCTGCTAAAGAATGAGAATACACCATTCAGGTGCATTTGAAAATGTTTGAATTTAAGAATTCTCTAAATTCACTAAATCTATTATCAATTTAGGATTATTTCAACATCAGTCAGGAACATTCTTTGAATAATGGGCTAGTTTCCAGCTCCCTGGCGAAACTCACCTTGATCTGTGTTATCATTTAGACTCCATCTGAAAACACCATTAATTTAAATAAGCAATAGAGACTGAAATAAAATTCCATTCATGCTTAACTCTCCAGTGTGGTTTTGAAAAACCTTTCTTCTTTAGCCAGTCTTATGTTACATGCTGGATGGTCTTTGCTTTGACCACCTCATAAAAAAAGGCTCATAAATACTTTTCATGTGTTATTTAAACTAGCAGTACTCCCTGAGGCACCGTGCTTTTATTTTTAAAAAATCCTTTGTGTATTCCAAAAGCATTTCTCAACCAGTAGCAGAGGTAAACGTATCTTTTAACCCAGGAAAGCCATGTTCTGTCAATATCAGACCACAAATTTTCTTTTTCCATGCTGATAAGGACAAAACATTTCCAACAACTTCCACCTGATTTATGTGCTTTCCTTCGAAAAATCATCAATTTTTGAGCATAAGTGAAAATAATGGGAATGGTTCTGCTTAACTTGATGCTTTCCAAAAAGAAAGGTGCATTCCAAGCTCCCTACCTGAAGCACGAGGAATGGGAGCTCCCCACTGCAGCTGCCTGGCAGCTATGGGAGAAGGCATGAGAGCAGCACCTGGGCTGGCTGGGAGGGAGCCTGCCTGGAGGAGAATGGTGCTGGTACAGGTGTGGTGGGCACTGAGAAGGGAGCAGGTGGGTAAGTGGGAATGCAAAGTTGCACCTGGCATAAGGGATGTTTTGTTCTCCTCACCTGACAAACATACATATCAATGGAATTAAGACCTACTGCAAGCAGAAGGACCTGTTCATGATAAGAATGGGAAACAAAAAATACAAAGCAGTATTGATGGGATATTACATTTAACCAGATCAGATGTAAAGGAGGATTTAAACCAGAATGCTTAGAAACTAGATAGCCCATGGCAGAGTGTTGGGCTAGATGACCTAAAAGGTCCCTTCCAACCACTCTATGAATTGTTATTATACAATTGGATAAACACAGATATCCCAGAAAATCTAAAGTGGTTCTTCCACATTATGGTTCTGCTCACCATTGACTTCCTGGCAAAGTCAAAAAATCCAACCACTCTTTTTGGATCACAGCTCAAGAGTTTTCTTCTCTGCAATTTACAATCTGTCACTTTCTTTGTATTATCATGAACTGGGGGAGAAATCACATCATTTGAGTGAGACAGGTGTTCTCATCCCAGCCTCCTTGAATGACTGCAGGCTGCAGTGCCTACAGAAAAGGGCTGGAGATAAAACCAAGAGACAGGGCAAGATTTCTATGCCAAATCTGTTCCTCAGACACTGCTGCTATCATGGCGTCTCCTTCAAGACATGGAGAGCAGCTGGCAGGAAGTGTAACATCTTCCTAGTGGCTTAACTTGATGCTTACAACAGAGCTTACAACCTCTGCCAGGACCTGACAGGCCTTTAAAGGTTCATGTTTGTTTAATACATAGATGCCTCTGTAACAATTTTGCATCGTTCAGAAGAACATGCAAAAGCACTAATTCTTGCTGAGATAAATCACTAAGATCCACTTACAGCTGACTTGGTAGATATGTTAGAATAAATTTTAAGGAAACTGTTTACATATTATTTTTAACACTTGCTCAGTGAAATGCTCTTATTGTCAAGGCTTCTTCTCCATTTCTCTTCACCGTTTTGTAAAAACAAATACAGAGGGAAAGAAAATATCATCTCCCCACCTTCTTCCTCAGCAAATCAGATAATAAAAAGTATGAGGGAGTTTAGGATTATATTTGGTAAGAGAGAGAGAAGTGGCTTCAGAGCTGGCTTAATAACACTGGAACTGAAAGAGCCTTTTCTGTGTAATGATTTCTTTGTCTCTTTCTCTCTCTTTCATATTCGGATTATACTCTTCAGACAAAAGCAAACCTTTCCCAACACCAGTACCATTCAGTGGTCACAGTAGCTCTAGATTCATTTTCAGCTCAAATTTCATGAAGTGTGAAAGGCTGCTGGGCTGTAATCATCTGGCATACACCTTGAGGATAGCCAGCGAGGGAGACATGGCCAGGGCAGTTGTGGAGGTACAAGCATTGCTTGTAGGAGGACTTCTCCCCCAAATGTCCTACCAAATTTAGCAGGAGACAAGATTCCTCCCTGTTGAGCTACCAACCTTAACCTTAGAGAAGTGGGAAAGCAGGAATTGTCATCACCATATGCTTTTGCTGTGTGATCACCAAGGATAACTTTTCTCTGTTCTGTATTGTGTTCTACACAGGACAAGAAGCAAGAGCTGGACATAACGATACCCTTTCAAGGGACACAGGTTCAGCAGGAGAAGAACTGTCACAAAAAAAAATCAAGGCATCTGGCTGAGCTATGGAGATCTTGGGGAGTGCATGCTGTTCAACTCTACACTATGTTTGGTAGTCTAGCTCTAGCTCTGAAAGTGCCCAGGTGCCCCTGCAAGCATAGTAGAAGTGGAGCAAAGATTCAGTGTTCAGGAGTGGCGCTGCTGCAGCCAGATCAGCCCAGCTGCTCTGGCCATGGAGCAGGGCTTGCACTCCTTCCAGCTCTGGAGACAGATGGGTTAAGCCCCAGACAAGCTATTACAAGATTTTTCAGCTAACATGGACTTTAAAATTAACCGCAGGTGCTGGCATGGCACACAACATGCTCTCTAAGCCAAGTCCTTTCTCCTAGCTTGACCAATCCTTTCTCCTAGGCTGCTGCCCACTGTTTAGTTTAAGAAAGATAAGTAATAATTGCTGTCTTTCCAGAAGCTGTGTTATTCAACCATAGCCATTTATTTTGCTGGTTTTTATTCTTTCCTATCCTTTTATTTTATTTTATTTTTAAAGATTCGAATTGTTGTTATTTACTCGACAACCTCAACAGTGCTTACACGAAGGATTAGTGGAATATTCAGACTGAAGCAGTCAGCATCTGGCAAGCTAGGTGCCATGGCAAAGTCACGGAGACCACAAGCTAGGTTTCTGGGCAGAGACTTTCACCATTATCCTATTTGTTTTTCTGGGGTCTTTGGTCTTTTTCAGCAGCTGTGCCAATTAGTGTTATTAAAACATGGTTCTTTAGGATTTACAGTCTGTGCCAGAGCTGGGGAGCTCTGGCAGAACAAAATATCAGTGCTGATGGATAAATAAAATGACAGTTGCACAGGTTCAACTTTTGGTTGAGTAATTTCAAGTCACAGCAGTGCCTTTCAATTGTCATTTGTTCACCTTCTGTGCAGCTAAGAAAATTATAAACCACTGTAGATTTACAGAAAAATATAAGAGGTCAGAGTTGGTTATAGTCTGACCACTAGGACTCTGTAGCTTATTTTTCATGCGCTATATTGCTAACACCATGCATTATAAATGTGTAGAGAACCAACTTTATTCATAAAACTAATGTGATTGCTTCCTCCTATCATCGTTTAGACAGGCTTAAATTTTGCATACTTGTTGTAATGACTGTTGTAATAAGTTAGAAATATGGACTTTCTTTTAGCCATAAACGCAAATACATGCTATTTTGTTTATTTTATCTCAGGCCACCTTTGGTACACTCTTATGTATTTCAGCATCAGCTTGGGTCTTCATCACCCTCCATCATTCAGTGATTTTCCCTTCTAATAATGATGTATTCAGAAAAAAAAAAAATTGCCCATGTTTACTATCTCCACAATAATCCATCTTTAGTGAAATGAAGAAATTTTCTGAAACTTAAGAGATACACGTGTTTGCCTGTTCTGGTTTGGATGTGATACAAATTGATGGCAATCTCTATGTCAGATTTGGTCTTTATATCACAGCAGGTTGTTTGCTAACACTTTCCTATGCAACCTACTGTATGGGACTTGCTTTAGCAAAGAGTTGGACAAGATGATCTCCAAAGGTCCCTTCCAACCCCTATGATTCTATGATTCACATGGTATTGTGAACAGAAAAGTTGTGGGTGCTCCAACAATAGAAGTGTTCAGGACCACACTAGATGGGGCTTTGGGCAACCATGTCTACTGGGAAGTGTCCTGCCCATGGCAGGGGAGTTGGAACTAAAGAATCTTTAATGTTCCTTCCAACCTAAACCTTTCTAAGATTCTGTGATTGTATGAATACTGACAGATCAGAACCCATGGATCTGAGGAGTATACTCTGGAGGAATATTGAATAGGGCTGTACATGGAAGCTGAAGCTTGACTTCAGCTGTTACAGAGCACTCTGTGTATTGCATTGAGGTAGTTAATGAGTAAGATGAGCATGGATCTAGAGAATATTTCTGCTTCCTAATATATCGTGTCACACGCTGGATAGAACAAAAAAAACCTGGCTAAAATACTGATTACTGCATAAACATCGATTCACAGACAACTTTATCAGAAGATGAATGTGAAGTAAGGCATGGTAACCCCAGTCCATTTGGGAACTTTTTCTCCCTCACAGTGATATTACCTGTGCAACTCATGCTGGAAGTGAAATCCAAGTGACTGGGGACTCTACCGCACTGATCAGAGAACTAGGGTATGCTTGTTAAGTATGTGTCAGCATGTTTGTATACTAGCTCAATCATGAACTTACTGCATCATGGTTAGCTTACCTCCTTTAGTGAGATAAACTCTTGTAGATTAGAAACAATGCCATTTGGTTATTTTGGGGGATTAGTAAAGCAAAGGACCAAAATCCAAATCTCAGTCTTTCTACCAAACTGTGGGAATAGTTGGGTTGAACATAAAGACTGCAGCTGCCCCTCATTTTTGCTTCCAAGTATGACTGAAAGGGGTCTAGTTTCCATTTCCTGTTAGAAAAGAGTGGATTAAAGTACTTTTTCCATCTAGGAAAGCCAAAATCTCCCTACATTTTATGCTGCTAAATTAGAATGCAAACCCTTGAATCTCACCTACGAGTCTAATAAAACCATTCAACTGGTTGATTTGAAAGCAGCATTCATAGTTCATCTTTAGACTGAAGTTACACTATCAACCATTTACAATAGTCTATTCCTCTTTTACAAAACAATTAGGTCATTTAAAATAAGATGTTTATTTCCATGAAATTATTGGCAATTAGTTTGTCATTTGGATAGTAAAATCATCTGTCCAGAACCATTCCCGCCAGGAAACTGAGGGTTTAGAAATTCCATGTACTTCCATGCTTTACAATGATACCACAAATATTCAGCAGAAAGCCACTGTCTAAGAATTAAACCTGTGTCTTGTGGAACAGACTCCATTTGCCAGCATGTTTTCAAAATTACTAGAATGGTTTTAGAAACCTGACCAGAGACAACATAAGCATTCAAAATCCTGCCAGAGACCTACACAAGGTTTGAACATCAGTCTATATTTGGTACAGATGAAAGAGTAATTAGAAGCCTGTGGAAAATATTAGTATCTGAGCTGTAACTTTTTTTGCACATTTCAGGTACAGTACTCTTCATCCCAGAACAGAAGGAAATGTATTATACACTATTATGGAAGTATTAAAGAGATTCTGTCTCAGATGTCAATGTTTAAAACATTGGGGTATCATAGAATATGGAGGAGGATATTATACCCAGCAGGGAGACATTAAAATGGCAAGAACAGTATCAGAGAAGATCAGTTCTTCATAGGAAAAATGTAGGAGAAAAGATGGTTAAAAAAAAAAAAAAAAAAAAAAAGCAGCATGAAATCAGT